GGGAGGAGGGGGAGACGGAGCAGACGATATAGATCGGTAGATGACTGTATATATATATATATATATATATATATATATATACATGTGTGAGAGGGTACGTACACGTATCGATATGCCTAGATATGCATCTACATATGTATGTACGTGCATGTATATATATACATCTCATGATACAGGCAGGCATGTAGGTGCCTGCATTCGCATGTGTACTTCTGTATAGGGGCCCGTGAATATAATTATCATGGTTACATATAGCCAGTTAGACAACCATATACATCGATATGCGTGTGCGCATGGAGAGTCCCCTATATATATATAAGTATGTATGTACGAATCGAGGCTTCCATGTACCCACACACATGCATGCATGTCGATCCAGTTGCTCATATATGGATATATCGATGCATTGCTAGTTAAGTACGGACACATTTATACACACGCATATAAGACATATTTACACACACGTATATATATATATATGTATATATGTACAACGATCCGCACATTGAATGGTTCGTTCGTTGATGTAGATATGTATAGATGTATACATAGATGGGCTCATTGATGGTTTGACGTGGGCATATAGGCATACATGTTTGTTCTGTAAAATCGAATAGGGACGATTACATGCCATACCAAACGCTACCATCCCTGAGCTTCTTGAGAACCGCGACCTCGAGTTCGAGCGCCAAGACATCCTGGAGCAACTGAGCTCCACGAGGACCGCCAGCAAGACGTGGGTCCGCAGCAAAAGCCGCTTAAGAAGCCACTGCAAGGGGGCTGTACGAAGGATTCCTCGCAGCACCCCTCTACGCACTCGCAACATGCAACTCCGCTTGCAGTCTGCCGGGCTCGGGGCTGGCATAAGCGTGGCCGACGATGCAACTTCCGCCTCCGTCGCCGCAAAGCCCTGGAGCATGGAGGCCACGTTCATTTCTGGCGCCAGCAGCTTTGGTGGCCATGCAGGCGGCACGGCCGACACACGACCTCGAAGAGCATCGATGTCCTTCAGCAGCCGCGCCCGCTCATCGCTGGACCTCCATCCGTCGACGTCCGCACTGGAGACGGGCTCCAGACCTGTTGCGCTGGAGCCCGAGGCCCAACTCGTCGCAAGAGGACGGCGAGCTCGTCGCACGAAGGCGCGCCTCGAGGGCCCGACCAGCGTCCAGCCCACAGCCTCGGCACCGCGCGGGAAGGCGCCCCGCTCCTGCGCACGCTCCGCGTGTGCGGGGGAGCCCTCGGCCGATGGAGCCGCCTCCCCACCTTCTGGCTGCTCCTCGGCGTTGGCGGCCTGGGCGCCCGCGGCCCCAGCGGCAGGGCAGCCCTCCCCCGCACGGGGCCCGCCGAGCGCCTCCGCCCGCGGCCAGCAGGGCAGAGCCGCCCCACGGCAGGCGAGAGGGCAGAGCCGCCCGCAGCCTCGGGGGCTGGTGCCCCGAGCGCTGCTGGCACCCGAATCCTCCAGAGATGCTGCCCCCCTCCCCGCCGAGGGGCGGTCGCCCATGGGGGGTGGGTGTCAAGGAGAGCTGGCAGGATAGAAAGGATGCGAACGCGGCACGCGGAGGAAGCCCCAGGTGTCGGGGCAGCAGCGCCCGCCCCCCCCCGGCGGCCCCGGGGGGAGAGGGGAAGAACGAGGAGGCAAGGCGATGGGGGCGACGCTGCAACGAACTTGCGGAGGGAGGGGGAGAAGGGGGAGAGGGTTGCCTCAAGCTCCTTCTCGTCTTTCTCCAGGGGATCGGGGAAGTCGGTGCCTTCGACGTTCTTCTCCGCGCTTGAGAAGACCACAGCGCCAGAAGTACATCGCATGCCGTCCTATGCCATCGCAGGCGCCAGAGGCACGGAAGCCAAATGGCCTCTGAGGAGGAGGGTCGACGAGGAAGGAGGACTGAGGAGGAGAGGCAGGAGGAAGGAAGAGGAGGTGGAGGGGGGGGAGGTGGAGGAGGATCGAGGACGATCATCGCTGACGAAGGACGATCGAGAGGGGTCTAGGAGGAGGAGGAGGAGGAGGAGGAGGAGGAGGAGGAGGAGGATCAGGCGGAGGAGCAGGAGGACGAGAAAGAGGAGGAGGGTTGAGGATGGAAGATGACGGGAAGGGGGAGCGGGGAGGACCGAGGAAGAAGGAGGAGGATCGCGAAGGATCGAGAACGGCGAGTGCGCAAGCGAGCTGCAGCTACTCCAGATTTCGTAATAAAGGGAGGGGGGTCTCATTTCGGGGGGGGTCTCTTCCAGGCTATCTTGGAGGGCCTGGGGGGGTCTGGGGACGATGTTTTGGAGGGTTCTCCCACGGGGGGGGGGGGTCTAAAAATTCTCGTCTGGGAGGGTTGAGACCCCCTCACTTTTATTACGAGATCTGGAGTACTCTCCGCGCGACCCACCCACCCCCACTCCTGGCATGCGTACGTGGGTTCGGGCCGCCTCGGCGGGGCGGCAGCGCGGGCGCGGGCGCTCGGGCTCGAAGGTCCACCCAGTCGTTAGGAGGAGGAGGAGGAGGAGGAGGAGGAGAGGAGGAGGAGGAGGAGGAGGAGGAGGAGGAGGAGGAGGAGGAGGAGGAGGGAGGAGGAGGAGGAGGAGGAGGAGGAGGAGGAGGAGGAGGAGGAGGAGGAGGAGGAGGAGGGAGGAGGAGGAGGAGGAGGAGGAGGAGCCCAGTCGTTGCCGGCACCGCCGACGGCCGAGCTCGTCGGCACCAGAGCCCGGCGCCGCCGCGGCAGGAGCTCGGCGCCGGGTGCGGCCGTCGCCGGCAGGCGGTGGCCGGCAGCCGCCCGGCGCGCAGGGCCATCGCGACGCGGTGTTCGCAGCGACGCGTTTAGGGGGCCAGATGCGAGCCCTACGGCAGGTTTGCGTCGTGTCGACCAGCGGCGACCCCAGCGCGGGCGTTCAAGGTTGAACGCCGCCGGCGACCCAGAATCGATCGATGTTGAACGATCGGACGTTGCGGCAGCGGCCGATCGTTCAAGGTTGAACGATCCCCGCGGTGTCAGAAACCAACGCCGGGGTCGACACGACGCGAACCTGCCGTACCCCTGCCCCCCACGGTTTCTGAGGGGGAGGGTGGGGCTCACTTCGCTCGGGGGCTCACGAGCGAAGTGAGCCCCACCCTCCCCCTCAGAAACCGTGGGGGGCAGGGGCAGGGCTCGCACGTGGCCCCCTAGCGTTGTCCTGCTGTTGGCGCCCTCCGAAGCCCCCAGTGCGGGGGCGCCAGCCACTCGGCGGCCTGTTCCTCCGCCGCCTCCGCTTCCTCTGCCTGCTCTTGTCCTTCTTGCTGCGAGCCACCCCCCCAACAAAAGAAAACGATACGCTCGTCTCATCTTGTGGTTCAGCCCATGCCACCCACACTCGTCCCCTCCTCCCCAATCCATCACTCCTCCTCGCTTCATGTGTCTCCTCGTTCTCGTCTTCGTATCTCTTCTCCTCGTCCTCTTCTACCTCCTTTGTGGCCAGTTCGGCTCCATCTTATACCAGAGGTTATGGCGTGGAGCGGCGGGGTCAGCGTGCGCGCAGGCCACCTGACCCGCAACGACTGTGCCAGACCCCGAGCCCCCTTGTTCCCCGCCCTCGCCCCCCCGAACGCCGCCGACGTCGAGCTCTTTGCTCCTGAACGTACGCGCACGCCTGCAAGCGCTGCCCGTAGCCAGGCTGGCCAGGCCGTCGACGACGACGGCCGAGGCGACCAAGTCGACCGCCCGTACAAAGATGGGCGAGCTCTGCCCAGCTCGCAACAGCCACGTGCCATCCACCCTCCGGGGGCCACTGCTGAAGGCAAAACTGTGCTGCCGAATTCCCGGGGGGCCCAGCTCGTCGGTGTTCCATCCCTCCTCCTCCTCTCGTTGCCCATCCTTTGCTTCCTCCCTTCCCCCCTATCTCAAGCGTCACGGTGGTGCATCGACGGCCCGTGGATTAATTCGGTGGAGCCGTCGTTCGAGGCGAATTGGCCTTGCAGCGTTTATGCGCTTCCGCTCCACAGCTGACTCTTGCGCATGACGTATCTACCTCCCCGCCATGCCCCCAGATCTTTTCTGGGAACTCTTCCCCCGCCTCGACGGGGGAGGGCCCCCTGTGCTGGACCGAGGAGCGGTGGAGGAGGAGGAGAAGGAGGAGGAGGAGGAGGAGGAGAAGGAGGAGGAGGAGGAGGAGCTCACATCTTCACCCTCCGGAAACAGCTCCTGCCCGGGGCCGCTCTCGCGTGCAGCCGATCCCGCACGTCCAGCCGACTGCAGCCAGCCCCCGTCGGCGGTGCTCGGTCTCAAGCAGTGGCGAAGCGTCCTGGCGTGCCTATATCGGGGGCGGAAAAGAGGGGGGTGATGACTAGGGGGGGGGGGATATCATGGCGGGGGGCATGATATTTCCCAGATTTCATGGCGTTCATTACGTCCCTGGCCCCCCCGCTGGGCCGCGCACATGCCGCCGGTCATGATTTGCACCCCCCCCTCTTGGACACCCCCCTCTTGGCCGCTCCCGACTATAGGCCTACCAAGCAATGCTCCAAGAACCTGTTGTGGTTTCCACGAACTGTTCTCAGGCCAGTTCTGGCCGGGACCGTCTTGATTTGACACATCGGGCCTATGTTCCAAGAACACTGTTTTTGTTACTGGGACATTTCTGGATTCTACGAGCATGTCGTGGTAGGCCTACAGGAATGCCGGGACGGTCGGTCCCTGCTCAACGATCGCATCGGCACGAAGTCGGCAGCGACGCCTAAAGGGTGGCATGCGGCTGGCCCCGACGTGCCGACGCGCCGAGTCCAGCGCGGGGCGTGACGGGTCGGTTGCCGATGCACGCGGAGCGCCCGCGGGCTGGTTGCGGATCTCATTGTTTCTCAAGTTGTCTTCAAGATGGCTTGATGCTGAACTCGAGTTGCCCTTGTGCATTCCAGCGGTGCGGCCTTGGTGTGCTCACCCGAATGGCTGCTGCGCGAGGAAAGGATGTCGTGTCGGGCCTTCGGGGGAGTCTCTTCAGGGCCCTGGTCCTCCTCGTACTCGACGCCGTTGCCCTCCTCCTCCTCCTTGAAGGCATGATGGCTCTGGCCGCTGTGCGACCAAGCCGGCGTTTCTGTGTACCTCTCCGACCAAATCCATAAGGTACCGCTGTACCACTCGCAACCCAGCGCCATGGCTCCCGCCAGCAGCATCCTGCAGGTCAGCATCTCTACGGCATTCCTGCCGTGGGCTGGCGCCCTGAAGTTCAGCTCGGGCCCAGCCGCCTGCAGCGGCGTGTCGCTGGCCTTCGACGACTTCGTGCAGACGTACGAGCGCCAGTACTCGCCTGGCTCCGAGGAGTACTCGCGGCGCCAGGCTCTCTTCGAGGGCAGGGTCGCCCACATTGCCAGGCACAACTGCGCCGAGCAGCTGTGGAAGGCGCAGGTCAACCATTTCTCCGACTGGACCGAGGAGGAGCCTGCGAGGGGGGCCACGGGCAGGAGGAGGGCAGGTGGAGAAGCGGCGCGGAGGGGGAGAGGAGTGGGGAGAAGGGGGAGAGGAGGGAAGGGGAGTGGAGGATGTGAACGGAGATGGTGAGGGGGCCGAGGGAAGGAAGCGAACGAGACAGAGGGAGGGAGGGAGGGAGGGAGGGGGGGAGGGAGGGAGGGAGGGATGGGACACTGTCGCGCTAGTTCTGGTCGAGAGATGGAGGGAAGGAGGGAGGGAGAGAGAGCTGGAAGGGAAGGGGGAAGGAGGGAGTAAGCCAAGGAAGGAGGGGGCGGAAAAGTAGAAGAGGAGGGCGGGAGGAGGAGAAGGAGGAGGAGGGCTTGCAGCCCGCTCCCCCACATTTCACCCACGCAGTCGACTCCTTCTCATTCGTGTGGTGGCGGAACGAGTGGGCATGATCCACGGGGGTGGCGAAGGAGCAATTCCCCACCGGCTACCTTGGAGAAGGCTTGGCGGGCGTAGCCGTGCCCCCGCCATGCACTCCCCACCTAACCCTTGCTTCTCGGTCATCCTCTGTGTTCTGTCTCACGCGACTGCTGTACAGCTACAACCCACGCCGCTTTCCATGGAAGGGGTGGGTCATCCGGTGGGGGGGGGGAACTTCACGTGCCCCACAGACTTCTGTGGCCGCCGCCACGGAAGGCGCAAACTTCCCCCGCGCCCAGTGGAGTACCCAGAGGCGGCCACCAGTCCTTCGCTCGGGAACCTTATCATCCGGTGGGGGTGGGAACTTCACGTGCCCCACTGACTTCCGTGGCCGCCGCCACGGAAGGCGCAACCCCCCCCCCGCGCCCAGTGGAGTACCCAGAGGCGGCCACCAGTCCTTCGCTCGGGAACCGTATCATCCGGTGGGGGTGGGAACTTCACGTGCCCCACTGACTTCCGTGGCCGCCGCCACGGAAGGCGCAAACCTCCCCCGCGCCCAGTGGAGTACCCAGAGGCGGCCACCAGTCCTTCGCTCGGGAACCTTAAAAACGTTTCCATCGGTGGGGGGGGACCTTCACGTGCCCCACAGGACTTCCGTGGCCGCCGCCACGGAAGGCGCAAACCTCCCCGGCCCAGTGGAGTAACCAGAGGCGGCCACCAGTCCTTCGCTCGGAAACTTATAATCAGGTGGGGGGGGGAACTTCACGTGCCCCACTGACTTCCTGCGCCTCCACGGAAGGCGCAAACCTCCCACGCGCCCAGTGGAGTACCAGAGGCGGCCGCCAGTCCCTTCGCTCGGGAACCTTTCATGCCGGTGGGGGTGGGAACTTCACGTGCCCCACAGACCTTCCGTGGCGCCGCCAGGAAGGCCCCGCAAACCTCCCCGCGCCAAGTGCCCCCGCGCCAAGTGGAGTACCCAGAGGCGGCCACCAGTCCATCGCTCGGGAACCTTATCATCTGGTGGGGGTGGGAACTTCACGTGCCCGACAGACTTCCGTGGCCGCCGCCACGGAAGGCGCAAACCTCCCCCGCGCCCAGTGGAGTACCCAGAGGCGGCCACCAGTCCTTCGCTCGGGAACCTTATCATCCGGTGGGGGTGGGAACTTCACGTGCCCCACAGACTTCCGTGGCCGCCGCCACGGAAGGCGCAAACCTCCCCCGCGCCCAGTGGAGTACCCAGAGGCGGCCACCAGTCCTTCGCTCGGGAACTTTATCATCTGGTGGGGGTGGGAACTTCACGTGCCCCACAGACTTCCGTGGCCGCCGCCACGGAAGGCGCAAACCTCCCCCGCGCCCAGTGGAGTACCCAGAGGCGGCCGCCAGCCCTTCGCTCGGGAACCTTACAGTCGGGGCCCTGAAGAAGGAACCCTTTTCGTTGGGGAGGGGCTCCGCGTTCCTTAGGTGTTTCGCAGCTTGCCTCATGTTTTCCTTATGTTCTTGATGGGAAATCGAAGCTTATCTTTTGGAAAAAAGGGGCCTCGTTCCTTATTTAGGGTTCCTTGGGCCAAGGCCCCGACCGTACGCCTGCCTGCCTGCGAGGGCCCCCTCGTCGCAGGACGGGCAGGACTCCTGCAGGAATCGAAGGACAGGCAGGCAGGCAGGGGGACGGGCCTGTGCGCCTGCCACCTGGGCGAGCACGGCCACGCCGCCGCGCTGCCCCAAGCCGCCCGCCACCTCTCCTCCTCCTCTCCTCCTCCTCCTCCTCCTCCTCTTCCTCCTCCTCCTCGCTCCTGCTCCTGCCCTGCTCCTGCTCCTCCTCCTCCTGCTCCTGCTCCTTCTCCTCCTCATCCTCCTCCCTCCTCCTCCTCCCTCCTCCTCCTCCTCCTCCTCCTCCTCCTCCTCCTCCTCTCCTCCGCATCCTCCTCCTCCTCCTCCTCCTCCTTCCCCACTCTGTGCGCAGAGGCAGGTCGCCTCTCTCTGCCCCCCCCCAGCTTGTCGACCGCAAGCCCAGCCTCGCGCTGCCATGCCGGTGCCGCCAGCCGTGGTGCCAGCGAGCGCGAGACGCCCGCTCACCCCTCTGTCCAACCCTGTCGCCCTCGCCTCCGCCGCACAGCAGCCGACCTCCTTGCTCGCGAGCTTCACTGGCAACCGACGCAGGTGACCTGGCGACAGCTGGGGCGTCCCAGCCAAGAACCAGACGATGCCACAAGCAGGCTTGCACAGTACAGATGTGCGCACCGCCGCTCACAGCTTCCAAGGGAAGGAGAAGGTCATAACTACGGGTGTGTGGGGCTTTCACTTGGGAAAGCCACCGCCACGGAAGGCCCCCGCGCCCAGTGGACCCCTCCCCAGGCGACCCCCCGGCCCCACGTGCTGGAGACCTACGCCTGCCGTGCATGTGAAGGCCCCCGTCGTTGCACTGGGGGACGCCTGCGGGGGGCTCCTATGGCAGGGGGCCGCATGCGAGCCCTGCCCCTACCCCCCACGATTTCTGAGGGGGAGGGTGGGGCTCACTTCGTTGGAAAATCCCCGAGCGAGGTGAGCCCCACCCTCCCCCTCAGAAATCGTGGGGGGCAGGGGTGAGGTTTCGCAGGCGGCTCCCATATGGGAAGGGGGAGAGGCCTCTGCGCCTTGCACCTGGACAGGCGTGGACCCCCCCGACGCAAAGATGCCTCAACGAGGCAGTGAGCAGCAGTGGCCTCGCAATCGCACCCGCCACGCATCCCTGTTTCAAGCCTTTTCGCCAGTCGCTGCGCCGCGCCTGCACCGCGTCACCTGCTCATTCTCTTTCCTCGAGGTCATGATACGTTCGTCCCTCTCTCTCTCTCTCCTTCTGCATCGGCTGTTCTGCGTTGTTACTCTTTGACCTCTAATCCAGCCGGCGCTGACCTTCGTCAGGCTCACTAGTTCGGCCAACCCAACGTCAGTGCGACAGTTCTGCCATCAGGCATTCAGGAAGAAGAGGGGGAGGAAGAGGAGGAGGAAAGGAAAAGGAACACCAGCAGCAGCAACACGAGGAGGAAGAGGAGGAAAGGGAGGAGGAGGAGGAGGAGGATAATGATAAATCCGTTGCCATTTTGGCTCAAGGTTCGGGACAGGCCCGAGGTTGAGTGAGGCAGCTCTCCGTTCAGAGCGTTCCAGCTGTCAGAGGCTGGCGGACACCTTTCTTCGCACATCCCATTCTCTCATGGCCCATGCCCCTGCCCTGGAGGGATTCACTCTCGTGGAGACCAAAGGCAAGGCCGACAGCAAGGGCTCCGCCGACCCGTACCCCACTGGTGCTGGCCGCGGCAAAGGTGGGGGCGCCTCCGCCCGCGCGCAGGCCACCTCCGCCGCCGCCGCGGCCGCCTCCGCCGCTGAGCTCTCGTCCACGCAGACCGCATGGCTCACCAGCGACGACGGCTACTTCACCGAGAGCCAGCTCGTTTCCGCCACCCCGCCGGCTGGCGCTATGGAAGAGTCTGACGACCGTTCTCCTCCTGCCGCTCCTCCTGGGAGCATCGACGAGCTGCGGGCCTACGTCGAGGACACCAAGTCCAGCGTCCTCACTGGCATGGCCGCCATGCGTCAAGCCATGGCCGCGCTTGAGCAGTCTATCTCCGTCCACGTTCAGGGACTCAGCTGCCAGGTTGAACAGCGGCTCGCCAAGCAGGAGGCCTCCACCAAGACGCTCCAGACTCGAATGGACATCATGGCGGGTGAGATCGCGGAGCTCAAGAAGGCCCTGCTCCTTGTCCAAAGCTCCGATCCCGTCCCCTCCCCTGAGGCCGCCTCCAGCAACTTCGAGCGGAAGACCGACCCCTCCATCCTCGTCCTCCGCTCCAACTCTTTCGTCACCCTGGCCTCGGTCCGCACCGCCATCACCCCCTGGCTTGCAGACGCCAATTTTGAGGACTCGTTCTGGCGCCTGGAGGGACAACCCGCAGGCAAAAGATTCATCATACGTGTTCGTGGTGCCCCTGGCTGGTCGTCCAGGATGGTTTCCCAAGCCCTGTCAGCGATGCGTGTGGGAGACGGAGAATTCCGCCGCCTTCAAGCACAAACTTCCACGGGGGAGTCGTGCCCCCTCTACGTCTCGGCCGACAAGAACGTGTGCCAGGTGCGGCGGGAGCTGGCCACCAAGCTGGCCAGGCGCGCGATGTCCGAGACCTACCCCAACGCCCAGCTGCACGCCGACAAGGCGACAGGCATCATCAGCTCCAACTGGAAGCCGCTCATCAGGGTCACTCCCAGGCTTTCCGAGCCGACGCTGGTCGAATGGGAGACCACCAACCTCACCGCCGCAAACATGTCCCGCGAGAACTTGGAGGCCCGCATCACCGCCGCCCTGGCTTCTACCTCCTCTGGCGCTGCTTCCTCCCCAGCTGGGGCGCAGTGGTGCCTTTAACGACTGGTTCCGACTTACCAACCGCGCCTCCGTCTCTGAGTTTGGGTTCGGGACCTGGAATGGGAGAGCTCTCTTTCACCATGATATGAAATTGAGATCGCGGAAAACCTCTTACCTCGGCGCAATGCTCAAGGGCTTTCGGGTGATTGCGCTCCAGGAGACGCACGGCAGCGAGTTCGACGTTGCCGACTTCTTACACTTCTCAGCCTCGGTGTATGAGGCACACCACTCTTTCTTCTCCGAGCTGAACATAGGCGGCGTGGTCACCCTGCTGCCGAAGATCTCCTCTCTCCCTGGGGATGGTAAATACGTCGACTCCACCGTGCTGGTACAAGGGCGTGCCCTGCACACGAAGATTTGCCTAGGCGCGGTCAACGGCTCCGTCAGCGGCTCCCTCCACTTCATCTCTCACTTCAACATCCACAACTTCGGGCTCTCCTCCGCCCAGACCAGCCACATCCTGAGCGTCATCCGCCACGAGCTCGAGATCGCGAGCCGCGACACGGAGCACTACCTGGTCGTGGTCACGGGCGACTTCAACATTCCGCGTGACGCCCCTCTGCCTGCGCATCCCCTGCCTGGGGGGCTGGCTGAGGACCCTGCCGCACCCGAGTTCCGCCGGCTGCTCCGCTCGCCTTGGCAGCAGATTTTCAACGCGATGGTCGAGCTCGACCCGCAAGACAATACGCACTACAACGGCTCTCGCCAACACACATCCACCATCGACCGCATCTTCATTTCCTGGCCAGGCTGGATCCTCACTCTACTACACCTCACCTCCGACGTTCGGGACCTCCCTGAATCGCTCGAACAACGGGGCCTCTCAGATCACGCTCCCATCCTGGCCTCGCTGCGCGCTCGACCTCCCCCTTCCCTGGACGACAGGCCGATTCCCAGATACCTGTTTGAGCACCCGCAGTTCCAGAAGTATGTGGATGCCACCTGGCCCGCCATTGACATCTCGGAGCTTTCCCCCCCTCTGGCCCTGGACATGTACAAAACCGTCCTAAAGGAGGGAGCCAGGTACGCCAGGGACGCGCTCTTCCAGGACGAACCCTCGAACCCCACTTCGAAGTTGTTGATCATGCGCTCCTCTTCCAGAGCTGTTTGGCGCCAAGATCGCCGATTAGCTGAACGTCTCCTTCGCTATCCGTTTGCCCGAGAAATCCTGGAGGTCTCTGAGGAGGGACGTGTGCGTTTCGTGGACCCTGCCCGCTTTTCTACTCTGCTGGACGAGCTACAGTTTGCGGAGGCCGAGTCCGCCCAGTCCTCTATCCGTCGCGAGCTGGCTGCTGCTGACGCCCAGCAGGCTCCCGCTCACGCACGTGCGAAGCTCAAGAAGCGGCTTCGGAGGCTCATACAGCGAGCCAAGATTTGGGCGCCATTCGGACGGCGCACGGAGCTTTCTGGAATTCGATCACAAAATGGCCCGATTGTCTCGTCTTCCGAAGAAATGCACCACGAGATTGCCACACATTGGGGCCCCGTCTTCCAACGCAAAAATATCGACGAGGCTGCCGCCAACATGTACTTGAATAGGTTCTGCCCCAAGATCGATTTCGCTAACATCGCCCCGCCCACGAAGCCCCAGATGGAGTCTTACATCCAGAAGCTGTCCCACTCAGCCCCTGGCCCCGACGGTCTCCCATATGCCGCGTACCAACGTTCCTCGTTCTCATCATCGGTCCTATTGTCGGTCACGTGGTGGATTCTGGGTGGAAATGCTATGATGGTAGGTTTCAACGACATGATAGGCGTCTTCATCCCCAAAGGCTCCGAGACCGAGGACACCCTCAGAGGCTGCGTGCGGGCCCCCAACAACTTGCGCCCCCTTGGCCTCAAAAACACGGACGTCAAAATCATCACAGGGACGATCGTGCGTCGGCTCTCGCGTGCTCTCCCAGAGGTGGTGTGCAAAATTCAGAGGGGGTTCGTGCCGTCCAGGAACTTCGGGAACAACATTGTGGAGCTCGATGGGGCCTCGAGGGAGTACTCCCAGCAGGACGACGTCTCCGTAGCCATGCCTTTGCTCGTCAGTTTCGATTTTCAGCAGGCCTTCCCAAGTGTGGCCCATCAATGGCTCTTCTTGGTTCTCCGTCGCGCAGGATTGCCCGAGGCGCTATGTTGGTTCTTCGCCGAACTGTACCGCTGCGTCCAGTGCTGGTCGGCTAATGCGTGTTCTTCATCCATCAACAACTCCGTCTATGGGAACGCTGCGCTGCTCTACTACATCCAGAGCGGCATAGTGCAAGGCTGCCCTGGCTCGGGCTTCTTGTTCGCAGTGGCCGCGGACCCGTTCATGCTCGACTTCGACTGGAGTATCAACCGTCGTGCTCTCGGATTGGTTCGTGCCTGCGCTGACGACGTCGGTGCCGCCATCAGGACCATCAGGGCGCTCAAGATCTTCTTCCGCATCTTTCGGGCTGCCGCTCGTGTTGCTGCCCTGGTGCTCAAGCCGTCGAAGTGCAAGATTGTGCCATTATGCGGCCCGTTCTCGGAGGAGACTCACGACCGATACGCTCAGTGGATCACCGACCATATCCCGACATGGTCTACGTTCAAGATTGTTCCAGAACTTCTATACCTCGGACTTTTTCTCGGACCCGCAGTGCATCTTCAGAGCTGGCACGCACCAATCCAGAAATGGAGAGAACGTGGCCTGATCCTCGCACTGCAGCAGGGGCCACGCCGTGTGACTGCTCAGCTCTACTCGTCAAGGGTCACCAGTGTTCTGACATACGTCGCCCAGTTCATGCCGCTCCCAGCTGAGATTCTCTCAAGTGAGGCCGCGCTTCTTGCCCGCCTGTGGCGTTCGCCACACTGTGTGATCTCTCGCGCAGGTTTCTTCAACCTCTGGAGGTGGGGAGGGCCGAAGCTCCCGAGCGCTCTCATTCTGTCGTCGGCCACTCTCCTTAGATCCAGTGCCACCACCCTCCAGAGCTGGCCATCCGTCCTTGCCTCTCTCCGTGAAACCGCGGACCGATGCCTGCCCCTCCCCATCCGTGCTGCTGGATCTCTGTCTCCCTCATTCTGGTGCCAGCCATCGTTCGCGGAATTCCTGTCCTCCGCCGCAGCTTGTTATCCTGCCAACATCGGGCAAGATCTGGTCACCTCCTCCTCCCCCGCTCGCGAGCTCCTCGCTGCTGCTGCCACCTCTGCTGTTACCTCGCTCCCTCCTCCTCCCCCGAATCGCCGTGCCAAGATCCAGGGAAAGCTCGCCCTGACGCTTCTAGAAGTTCGATTTCCCGACCCTTTGGTCGGTATTTTCTGCAAGCGATTAAACGCCTGGCTTCCGGTTTCCCTGGAGACCCTCGCCGAGTGGCCCTGGTCCGAAACCCAGCACTGTCTCTTGAAGCTTCCTCCGGTCCAATCGAATGCGATTTTGAAACTCCTCGTCAACGGATGGACGACGGAGGCCCGCTTTCAGAAGCCTGCCCTATGTGTGCTAGGCTGCGTGCCGTGCGGAATCTCATCCAGCGCTGACAGCTTGCCACACTACTGGTCGTGCCCTCGGTTCCTGGCCATTTTAGCGATGGTCCTCCAGAAGAGAGTGCTCCCAGGATGCCCCATCGAGCGACTTGGTCTCTCCTCCCCCTCGGCCGAGAGCCTCCTGCTGCCTGCCGCTGCCACCCTCCTCTTCAACACCATCAACGCTCACAGGGCCGAGCTCGACCATCTTCCTGAATCCCGCGCCCGCGCTCTGGCCTCCTCTGTGAGGTACCAGCTGTGGCGGTAGGCGCCCCACAGGTGTGATGGAGCAGACCCATTCATCCCCCAGGTACGTCCGAGGAGGATAATGATAAACAGCGGCAGAAACGAAGAGAAGGAACAATAAGGATGAGACGTGATACGGAGCAGGGAGGAGGAGAAGGAGGAGGACGAGGACGAAGAGAAGAAGGATGAGGTGAAGAGGAAGAGGATGATCACGAGGAGCAACAGCAGGGATAAGGAGGAGGAGGAGAGGGGAATGATGAGGAGCAGGGAGGTAAATAACGGCTGAGGAAGCACGAGGGAGGAGCAGGAGGAGGAGAAGGACGGAGATGAGGACGAAGAGGAGGAAGAGGAGGAAGAGGAATATTCGGAGAAGGATGAGGAGGAGGAGGAGGAAAAGAAGGAGGAGGAGGAGGAGGACGAGAAGGAGTACCAGCAGCAGCAGCAGGACGAGGCGGAGGAGGAGGAGGGCGATAAGCTGGGGCAGGAAGGAACATGAGGAGCAAGAAGGATGATACATGAGGAGGAGCAGGCAGGAACAGGAGGAGGAGGAAGAGGAGGACGAGGAGGAGGAGGACAATGAGGAGCACCAGCAGCAGCAGCAGCAGCAGCAGCAGCAGTCGCAGCAGCAGCAGCAGTGAGGAAGAGGAGGAGTAGGAGGAGGACGAGGACGAGGACAGGGAGGAAGAGGAGGACGAGGAGGACGAGGAGCAGCAGCAGCAGCAGCAGCAGCAGCAGCAGGGAGGAGGAGGAGAATTAGGAGGAGGAGGAGGAGGAGGAAAACGAGGAAAGGGAAGAGGAGGAGGCGGAGGAGAGGGAGGAGGAAAAGGAGGATGAGGAGGAAGAGGATGGAGGTGGGAGGCAAAGGGAGAGGAGGGAAGGATGGGGAGAGGAGGGGGGGGGACCTCGACCGTGGATCTACGATCCTTCCCCCACTGTCCCCTGATCCTCCTTCATTCCTGCCTTCCTCGACCCTCCATCGCGGGAGGAGCTGCAGGGCCTCCGGGGCTACAAGCGGGGAGTGGGCACCGGCACCAGCGCGCCGACGGGCGCCGCCGCCGTGAGCCTCGACGCGGAGGAGAGGGGGACCGGCCGGAAGGTGAGCGACGTGGGATGTCAGCTGGCAGAGAACGGGGTTCAGCGCAGACTGGCTCAGCCAGAACGCCGGATCTTGCAGGATCTTGCAAAGCCGGACTTGGGCCGAGCCAGGTTTTGGAGCCGCTCGCGGCCCTGGAGGTGGCCTTTACATATCAGTTGAGTTACACGTGGGAAGCTTCCCCAAAAAGTTGCAGCACAGCTCCAGGGTAGCCACCAGTCCAATCCCGAGGAAATAGACATGGAAAATGTCGCCTCGCCGTTTGTTTCGACGCGCGGCCTTGCGCTTGGGGGAGGAGGGTGCCGCGGCCACCAGGGCAAACTCGGATTCGGACGCAAGGTTTGCAGTGAAGTTTTCCGTGGTGTCGGCTTCGTCTACTTGATTGAGCGCGTTCAGAACACATGGCGCGGCGACATATGCAAAACAGGGTTAGGGGGCCGAACGGTCTTACACCGTCCCTGGGGGCGTGGCTGAAGTGGGGTTCCGCGGCGCGGATGTTGCTTGTTTGTTGAACTCCCGCTTGTGAAGTAGACAGATTGTTGATCCTGCATGGTACATGGAAGCATCCTGTGTGTCAGACTGTGTTGTCAGCCTCAGCTTACCGCAACAGCAACGAAAAACACATACTATTACTACGACTACGACTACTACGAGTATTATTACTACTACGACTACTCTTACTGATACGACTGCGACTAAGACTACCACTACCACTACCACTATTACTACTACTACTACTACTACTACTACTACTACTACTACTACTACTATTACTATTACTACTACTACTACTACTACTACTACTACTACTACTACTACTACTACTACTACTATTACTACTACTAGTACTACTACGACTACTACTACGACTACTACTACGACTACTACTACGACTACTACTACGACTACGACTGCTACTACTACTACTACTACTACTACTACTACTACTACTACTACTACGACTACTACTAATCCAACTACAACTACTTTACTACTGCTACTACTACTACTACTTCTACTACTACTACTACTACTACTACTACTGCTACTACTACTACTACTACTACTACAACTACTACTACTAGTACTGCTACTAATTCTGCTACTAATACTACTACTGCTACTGCTACTACTACTACTACTACTACTACTACAATTACTACTACTACTCCTACTACTACTGTTATGACTACGACTACTAATATTATTACAACTATGAGTACTACTATTGCGACGACGACTACTACTACGACCACTACTTCTACTACTACTACTACTACTACTACTACGACTACTACGACTACTACTATTAGTACTACTACGACTACCACTACTATTACTACTACAACTACTACTACTACTACTACCACTTCTACTACGACTACTACTACTACTACTACTACTACTTCTACAACAACTACTACTACGACTACTACTATTACGAATACGACTACTACTACAACTACTACTACTGCTACGAATACGAGTACGACCACGACGACTATTACTACTATTACTACTACTACAACTACTACTACGACTACTACGAACTACTATTACTACTACTACTACTACTACTACTACTACTACTACTACTACGACTACTACTACTACTGCTACGACTACTACTACTACTACTACTACTACTACTACTACTACTACTACGGCTACTACTACTACTACTAATACTACTGCTACGACGACTTCTACTACTATTACTACTACTACTACTACGACTTCTACTGTTATGACTACGACTCCTCATATGACTACAAATATGAGTACTACGATTGCGATGACGACTACTACTACGACTACTACTACTACTACGATTACGACTACTACGACTACTACTACTACTACTATTGCTACAGCAACTACTCTTACCACTACGACTACGAGTACGACCACGACTACTACTACTACTACTACTACTACTACTACTACTACTACTACTACTACTACCACTACTACTGCTATTATTGCGAATACGGCTACTACTGCTACTACTACTACTCCTACAGCTATTACAGCTACTACTACTACTACTACTACGACTACTACTACTACTTCTCTAACTACGACTACGATTACTACTGCCACGATGACGACTACTACTACCACTACTACGAGTATAATTACCACGATTACTACTACGATTACTAGTGCTAGTATTTGTACTACTACTACTACTACTACTACTACTACAATGACTTCTACTACTACCTACTACTAATACTACTGCTAGTACTATCAGTACTATTACTACTACTACTACTACTACTACCACCACTACTACTACTACGATTACCATTACGATTACTATTACAACTACGACAACGACTACGACGACTTATTCCTACTCGTAGCGCTATGTCTACTAGTACTATTACTAGTACTACTACGACTACTACTACTACTACTGCTACTACTACTACTACTACTACTACTACTACTACTATTGTTGCGACTACTCTTACTGATACGACTGCGACGGCGACCACGACTAATACTATTACGACTACTATTACGACTACTACAACTACTTCTACTACTACTACCACTACTACTAGTACGACTAGTATTATGACTACGGCTACTACTATTGTTACATCTATTGCTACGACCTACGATTCGGACTACGACTACGAGGACGACCACGACTACAACTACGACTACTACTACCACCTAGTACTACTATTGCTACTACTACTACTACGACTACTACTACTACTACTACTACTACGACTACTACTCTACTACTATTACTACTCTGACTACTATTGTTACTAATACGGCCACGACTGCTGCTTCTACTAGTGGTTTTACGATTACTATCACCATTACTACTGATACTACTACTACTACTACTACTACTACTACTACGACTATTACTACCACACCGACTAATATTGCTACGAGTACGACAACCACTACCACTACGACGAGTATGACTGCTATTGCTACTACTACCACTACTACTACTACCACTACTACTACTACGACTACTACTACTTATATTACGACATACTACTAATACTAATACTGGTATTGTTACTACTACTCTTGGTACTAGTATTACGACTGCGCTTACGACAGCGGGCACGATTAAGATTACGACGACGACTACGACTACGACGACTTACTCCTATTCGTACTAATACTACCACTACCACTACTACTTCTACTACTACCATTACTACTACTACTACTACGACTACTACTACCACCACTACTACTGATATCACTACGACTGTTACTACTACTACTACTACTACTACTACTACTACTACTACTACTACTACTACTACTACTACTACTACTACTACTACGACTACGACTACTACTACTACTACTACTACTACTACTACTACTACTACGATTACTAGTACTACTACTACTACTACTACTACTACTACAACTAATAATTATACTACTACTACCACTACTACTACGACTACCTTACTGATACGTTTATGACCACGACTACCACTGCTACTACTATTATGGTGAGGACGACTACACCTACAACTACGCTTACTATTACTACTACTACTGCTACTACTACTACTACTACTACTACTACTACAACTACGACTACTACTACTACTACTACTACTACTACTACTACAAATACTATTACTACTACTACTACTACTATTACTACTACTACTACTACTACTACTACTACTACTACTACTACTACTACTACTAATACCGCTACTATTACTACGACTACGACTACGAGTAATTACGACCGCGACTACGACCACTATTACCACTACCACTACGACGAGTACTACTATTAATAATACTGCTGCTACTACTACTACGACTACTACTACTACTACTACTACTACTACGACTTTAACAACTACTGCTACTACTACTACTACTACTACAGATCCGGCTACTCTGCTACCATTACGATTAGTACTACTACTAGTACGACTACTACTACTTTTACTACTACTACTACTACTACTAATACTACTACTACTATTACTACTACTACTACTACTACTACTACTACTACTACCTACTACTACTACCTACTACCTACTACCTACTACCTACTACTACCTACTACGACTACTACTACCACCACAACAATCAGCTTAATTGTGTTCGCTCTTACCTGCTCGCGGGCCACTCAGCACGTATATCCCAAACCCTCGATCACCGCCCTCTTGTCTTTCGCCGTATCCCTTTAGGGGTATATCTCTCCCCCACCTGCCGCGCGTAATTGGCGCAGTCCCTGAAACAAGAGAAGAGAGGACGGATGGAAGGGGGAGGGCGAAGGATGGAACACGGGATTGGCAGGAGAGAGGCTAGGAGCAGAAAACACCTGGCATAACCAAGCGGGACCATCGGGCGGGTAGACCCTAGCGGGCGGGTTGGGAAGGCGGGCCCAGGCGGCCAGGTCGAGCAGGCGGGATGTTGAAGCGTGAGTCCTGCATGAGTCGCGAGAATGTCCCGGGTGATAGCGCCATCCCCGAGGAAATCGCAAGAAAGGCTCAAGGGAGAGCGCGTGTGTTCTTGAGTGTCGAGGGCGCGGCGTATGAATACATTGCGAGGAAGTCCCACGCGAGAGCGCAATCTCTCCATAAATTGTGGGGAGATCCCGCGCGAGAGCGCGATTTGTCAACATACTGTGAGGTAATATGAGGCGGGAGCCTTTAGTTCGGGGCCCAACGACCCAATCTGGTGACCCTTCATTGTCCCTTGAAAACCGGATGCGAGCCTTGGGGGGGAGAAGCATGTTGATGCAAAGTACAAAAATTACCGGACGGGGGGTCACCAAAACATTATATAGTTACACACTTAATGAAACACCGCCAACAACAGCAACAACAACAGCAGCAACAACATCAACAACAACATCAACAACAATAGCAACAGCAACAAACGCAACAGCAGCAACGACAACAACAGGAACAGGAACAGCAGCAACAACACCACTAATCAGTTTAATGGTGTCC